CTCTCCTATTGGTAGAGCGTGTAACGTCAACCAATAGAAAAGATTAATCCAACCCAGGTTGATGCAAACCCGATCGGGCCGAAAACGCTAGTAGTAAAAACATGAGTCTGTGTTAAGCCGGTTCTACATTAGTCGCATCGCAACGTCGCAAGCGTTGCAGTCCAATCAACGTCAAGCTAGCTCGACTCTGATTGGACCACAACGCTCGCGACACGCTTGCGACGCAGCGATGCGATCAATGTAAAATCAGCTTAATGTGTTAGTGAAAACGTGAGTTTGTGTAAAGTACTCTGTACGTTACACAAACGCTTTATCTCGGATCTACAATAGGATTTTAAGCCTTAAGCCATAAGAAATGGACGAATCATAGTCGAGTATTCTCCTCGAATTCGACTGTAATTGGTCAGTTTCTTACGGTTTAAGGCTTAAAACACCTATTGTAGATCCGGACTTAAGGCTACAATATGCGAAGTAACCTTGGTTTAAGAAGTAAGAGTAAAGGTAAATTTTCACGAGCTGTTCAAACACGCTGTTTCAGCGACAAAAAGGATGACGTGGTCAAAATTGACGAATATCAAGCGTCCATTTTGACCACGTGATCCTTTTTGTTTCGCTGAAACAGCCGGTTTGAGCAGCTCGTGAAAATTTATCTTAAGAAATTGATCAATTACGGTCGAATGCGAGAAGAATAATCGATTGTGATTGGTCAATTTCTGCAATAAGCCATTAATCGTAAATCAGAAGTTAGAAGCTGGAAATTAACGACTGTGATTGGTCAATTTACAGCTTCTAACTTCTGATTTATGACTAATGGTTTATTGTAGAATGCGTATTCCTTCTTAAACCAAGCTTGCTACTGTATCGTAGACGGGCCATTACTGATACTGCCACTCTGTAGACCATGCATTACTTCTTAAACCAAGCTTACTTCACAAATTGTAGACCACTTACGGAATATGTGTGCCATGAGGTTCGTTCGCGTCGCATGTTCCAACATGTTCCAATATGCTCCTACCATAGCTCTTACTCACTCCAACGCACTTATTAGAGTGAGTAGGAGCTATGGTATGACTCTGTTGGAGCATGTTGGAGCTTGCAACGTGACAAACTTATGGCCTTCACTTCTGTTGACCGAGGTAATTGGAATGTGGATGTTGGAGGGAAGGGGGGAAGGTTTAAACGGCTCCACTTATTCACATATTATGATCGTACGATGTGACGTTTCTCATGACGTCACAATCGTCACAGTTACGATAGAACGGCGGCCATAGCCAACTTGAGAGCATTAAATCTGACATTTTTGAACATTTGTGATTCAAATAAGATTAAAATTTATTATTTATTATTGTACTTTCCATCATCTTATGATAAGTGTCTCCGCTCTTGAAATCAGGAAGCTGTAACATTGCTTTAACCTGTTTTTATTAATCGTGGAAGGTCGAACTCGGTCGAACCCTCTCCTCTATATTTCGTTCTGGTATTGTGGCAATATTCTCACATATCAAGCCACATCAAGAACAATCTCAAGCAATCTTTATGGCAGTGTCAGTGGATGATGTACGTCGTGTCACATTTGGAATTGTTTAAGATCTATCAAACATTTACTGTTTAGGAAGTTAGCTGCGTTGTTTGTGGCTCGTAAGTAAAAAATCATTATTGAAACAATTAATTATTCGATAGAAATAGTAATTTAAATTAATAGTCCTCGACTGTCTTAGGTTCCTAACCTCTTTCATATTCTGGTGTAATGAATTTCGGCTAACCTTTCACCGCGTGTAAAATCTTCACAGATCGTTCACTGCAATCATATAATTTCTTTCTTTAAGATTACGATAGATATGACAAAAGTGAAGAACTATTGCATATAGTGAGAAACTATTGAAAAATATGCTCTTTCTATAAATTTAAAACATGCGTTATATTTAAATAAAAAGAAAAATAAACGAAAAAATATTTAAAAAAACATTCTTTTGACAAAAGAAAATAGATCATACTCCTTTAATGTATGATAACGTCACATTGTAGTAGTTATCATTTTACTAGTCAAAATGAGATATATATTTAATATGAATCTGATTATTTTTTTTTTTTAATGACTAAAAATATAATTTATATTTGTGATTTGTTTTCTATTCTTGCACTAGGCTGCACTAGAACTCTGTTTCTCGACAAATATCAAACATATACCTTTCTCACTTTAAGTTCCAAAAATGTACACTAATTCAGCCACAGAAAACAGACTTGTAGTTTAATAGACTGTTATTTTATTTTTTGAAGATTTCGAATATCATTTCTTCTTTGCTTGTTTAATTGACATAAGTATCTATGTATATTTATGCAAGGCATTAAAAATTTTTAACATGTAGAATTTTTAATTTAATTTATTGTTCTAGATTTCCTAAATTTGTTCTTAATTCTTTATAATAAAACAATATAATATACGAACTATGAGAGCGTTAACATAGCGCGGTAATTAGTGCGCAATTTATACAATAGTCTGATAATATTCACATAATATATATATTAAAATTGTACAGTGACTGTCAATACCAATTTATTTGAACGTTTCGGTTTTTTTCAAACCATCTTCAGCAAATTCGTAGATCATTATCGTAGACAATAGTTGGAAGATGTTGAAATTATGTTCTTTGTGAGAACGAGGATGATTGTCTCCCTACTGTCTGGTTGGGAATTGCCTAATTTTTGTCTCTTCGCTGCTTAGCCAAGTAACTAATCTCCCTCTCCATAGATCACAAATCAGTTATTTAGAGCATAGTAAGTCAAATTATAAAAGTTGCGATTACAAGAATATTATTAGACTATTGTATAAATTGCGCATCAATTACCGCGCTGTGTTTAACGCTCTCATAGTCTGTATATTATATTATTGTTTTTTAATTTCGAGAGCCCGATTAGTATTTAAATTTTGATCTTTATTATAATTTTATCTAATAATAAGTAATATAATTTATTAACTTTTAGATTGTACCTGTATTTTTTCGTTAAAATAGTGATTTTTTTTCTCTTATATAGAAAATTCTTCTATAGAAAATTTTCTTATATAAGTAACATACTCATGGTGCAGAATATCGAGATTTATGCAGATCCACAAAAGGCTTTCCGAATAGGGAAGGTCAAATAAAAAAAATGTTTATTTTCTCAAAATAGTGCATTTGATGGTTTTTGGTATAGCTGATTCCAATTCTGAGTATAGATTCATGAAATCTCGAGTCCTAAACGTAATATTGACAATATAAATGAATATAAAGGTATAGACTTATGCAGAGAACTTTTCTTTAGCTAAACTATAGCGGGGAGTACAGACTCTTGTATAACGCATAATACGTAATGCGTAAAAAAATGAACGAATCAAAGTCTTTCGTTTCCTTCCTTTTCATGAAATGAAGGATTTTGATTGGTTGAATTTCTTATGCCTTATGCGTCATGTGTTATGCAAGAGTTTGCTCTCCCCGCTTATACATTCTATTCGAGTTCCATTTTGAAATTTTCAGGGTTACTTCATAATTTAAATATATATGGGTACTTCATTTATTGAAGGAAATATGATATTTTTACAAAATTTTTAAATTAGTGAGTTGATGAAAAATGTTAATAAAAGTAAGTAAACGGAAAATGATTTATTTATACGAAAATTATAAGTTAAAAATAACCCATCCATAGAACAATTTAAGATCTTTAAAATTAATATCTTGCATTTTTTTGTATGACTAATGGTTTCAATGATATGATAATAATTTGAATGTTTGCATGAGTGATGTTTTTTTTATGAATTTCTGCAACTTACAAACGTGAATAATTTCCCAAAAAAAATCTCAATTTTTTTTCGCGAAACACGTGTCTCATAAACCTAAGACAATTCACAAGGACTCCTTACTATTCAAACAAAATTAAGTAAAAAAAGGGCAATAGGAATCAGGCGTGGTAATTGTTGCGCGAAATGATAAACAATATCACATAAAACTCTTTATTAAATAACACTTACATGTTTCGGCTCATTTTTGAGCTCTCTTCAGAGATATAAATTATTATATACGTACAATATATACGAAAAGATAACTTGTCATTGTGAGCTCCCTCAACTTCACCAATAATTCCCCTCAAAAAAACTCTTTTTCCAAAAATGAATTATGGAAAAGAACAAATTTAAAGAATTCAAGTTACAATGAAGCTATGAAGCTCACCACGACAAACATGTCTCATATTTTTGTCTGTAAAATATATCAGTAAATTAAAAAAAAATTAATAATGATGTTTCAAAGATGCCTGGTTTGACATAGAATGCCTCATATATTTAATACAATTAGTATTTAAAATACCACTAAAAATGGTAGTATTTTAACCCACACTCAAGAGCCACAAAAGTGACTTTCCTGGCAGTTTAAAGGTTAAAGCTTAGAGAAAAATTTTTTCCAAGGACTAAAGTAATTCTTTATAATTAAAATGTATATAAAAATTCTTGAGCAGTTTCGTAGAAAAATATTGCTATATTAATTGATGTACATTTTTTTTTATTCATGTAGCGACATCAATGATTAAATTAGTACATACTAATCTGTTTTTATTACATATATATATTATACGCACACCCGTGTACGCGTACACAAATATATATGGTAGTAGGTACACACAGTACAAGTATACATGCTTTCAGGCTACTAAGAATTTCT